TTTTTTTATTTGCACTAACATCCAAATTTTCGGGACAAATGTTCAGGTTGTAACCCCTTCTTCAAGGTCCAAGCTGTACCTCCTTCTTCAAGGTCCAAGCTGCACCTCCTTCTTCAAGGTCCAAGCTGTACCCCTTCCGCAAGGTCCAAGCTATACCCCTTTCTTCAAGGTCCAAGCTGTACCTCCTTCTTCAAGGTCCAAGCTGTACCCCCTTCCGCAAGGTCCAAGCTATACCCCTTTCTTCAAGGTCCAAGCTGTACCTCCTTCTTCAAGGTCCAAGCTGCACCTCCTTCTTCAAGGTCCAAGCTGTACCTCCTTCTTCAAGGTCCAAGCTGTACCCCCTTCCGCAAGGTCCAAGCTATACCCCTTTCTTCAAGGTCCAAGCTGTACCTCCTTCTTCAAGGTCCAAGCTGTACCTCCTTCTTCAAGGTTCAAGCTGTACCTCCTTCTTCAAGGTCCAAGCTGTACCCTCTTCCGCAAGGTCCAAGCTATACCCCTTTCTTCAAGGTCCAAGCTGTACCTCCTTCTTCAAGGTCCAAGCTGCACCTCCTTCTTCAAGGTCCAAGCTGTACCTCCTTCTTCAAGGTCCAAGCTGTACCCCCTTCCGCAAGGTCCAAGCTATACCCCTTTCTTCAAGGTCCAAGCTGTACCTCCTTCTTCAAGGTCCAAGCTGTACCTCCTTCTTCAAGGTTCAAGCTGTACCTCCTTCTTCAAGGTCCAAGCTGTACCCCCTTCTTCAAAGTCCAAGCTGTACCTTCTTCTTCAAGGTCTAAGCTGTACCCCCTTTTTCAAGGTCCAAGCTGTACCCCTTTCTTCAAGGTCCAAGCTGTACCCCCTTCTTCAAGGCCAAAGCTGTACCTCCTTCTTCAAGGTCCAAGCTGTACACCCTTCTTCAAGGTCCAAGCTGTACCTCCTTCTTCAAGGTCCAAGCTGTACCCCTTCCGCAAGGTCCAAGCTATACCCCTTTCTTCAAGGTCCAAGCTGTACCTCCTTCTTCAAGGTCCAAGCTGTACCCTCTTCCGCAAGGTCCAAGCTATACCCCTTTCTTCAAGGTCCAAGCTGTACCTCCTTCTTCAAGGTCCAAGCTGCACCTCCTTCTTCAAGGTCCAAGCTGTACCTCCTTCTTCAAGGTCCAAGCTGTACCCCCTTCCGCAAGGTCCAAGCTATACCCCTTTCTTCAAGGTCCAAGCTGTACCTCCTTCTTCAAGGTCCAAGCTGTACCTCCTTCTTCAAGGTTCAAGCTGTACCTCCTTCTTCAAGGTCCAAGCTGTACCCCCTTCTTCAAAGTCCAAGCTGTACCTTCTTCTTCAAGGTCTAAGCTGTACCCCCTTCTTCAAGGTCCAAGCTGTACCTCTTTCTTCAAGGTCCAAGCTGTACCCCCTTCTTCAAGGCCAAAGCTGTACCTCCTTCTTCAAGGTCCAAGCTGTACACCCTTCTTCAAGGTCCAAGCTGTACCTCCTTCTTCAAGGTCCAAGCTGTAATCCAGGATATTTCTGGACTCTTCTGGCTACACTTCTCAGCAGATATGTCCACAAGCTGCCATAGTGCGTTCAACCTGTTGGGAGCACCTTAAAAGATAATAACACTTAAAACATACTATGTAGACTTCCCCGAGTTCCTAAACCCAATCCACTCTTCAATTACCCCCCCCCCCCCCCCCCCCAGAAATGTTCTCCTCTCCCTCCTGTCCTGTTTTTCATTTCTGAAGCTGAGTTGACCTCTGGTCTCCTGGAGGCACTTTGCCTTCATGAGAGTTCCTGCGAGTGGCCAGTGCTTTGTGTGTCCTCACTGGGAGTCTGAAGGTTGGGTAATGGATTGTCGAAGGCCTGTTCTCACTCTCCTGACACCCAGACACACTACACACATGTTCAGCGGTGACCTCGCGTTTGTTGTGTGACTCACCCTTAATCATTATGAGAAATAGGCTTAACCAGTTCATAAATCCCCGGTGAGGTTCCTTTCCCACGTACTCCGTCACGGGACATCGGGGGGGGCACTTTTATTTCATGCATTCGCTACTAAATATTATTTTTCTGAAATTTGGAGACGGAGAGGAACACTGGTGGGGCCAGTCCTAAGAGGATCACATGATGGTTGTACGTTTGTAGGAACCCCAAGCAGAGGCATCTCAATAGCAACATGGGCCCCTGGGCAAAGTCATGCACTGGGGCCCCCGACCAGCCTGCCCCAATTACCGACTCTCAAGAATTAAAGTATACATTTTTTTTATAGAATTAAACATATATTCATTGGAACTTTCAATGAAATAGATTTTAAATAAAAAATGCCATAAATCAAAGACTTATGCAGGCCATAGACGGGTCAAAATTCGGCCGATTTTTCAGCCGCACAAAAAATTGGCCGATTTTCGCACCCTTAGAGGGTTAAGTGGTTGGCCATTTTCTGGTGTTTTTGCACATTTTTTGATTGGTAAACTTGGAAAAAAAATTGGGTGATTTTGCCGATCAGCCGATTTTCTCGGCAATGATGGGCAAATCGGCTGATCGTTTTACCAATAAAAAATCTGCGCATGAGCCGTGACCTGGAAGAAGAAGAAAAAGAAGAAGAAGAGAAGAGGAAGAAGAAGAAGAACAAGAAAAAGAAGAAGAAGAATTCCAGTCCGCTATTATATTTCATATGAAAAGTCTTGTGGTTGCAACAATGTATCCATTTGAATCCGAATACAAACATCTATATCCGAAATGGATACAAATGGATATAAATAGATACATTGTTGCAACCACAATACTTTTTCATGTCAAATATAATAGCGGATCTCTGCAGGGACAGAAGTAATTAAATGCTGGCCGCAGACGGGACGAAAATCAGCCGTGTTTTTTTACCGTTGGTGGTAACGTCGGCCTATTGAACAACCGATTTTTTGTTTGTTTTTTTTTTTTCAAAACGGCAGGTTTTTGACCCGTCTATGGCCTGCATAAGGGGGGAGGCAGAAGGGCCCAGTATAGGGGAGGAGTCAGGAATGCAACATGTACCACCCCCCACCGACATCCACCCGTGGGAACGAGCTCTGACTTTGTTTTCCCCTAAACTTAAATCTTTATATAAATGTAATATTAGAGCAGCACAGTGGCTCAGTGGTTAGCACTTCCACCTGGCAGGACTCAGGTTGTTGGTTTAGATTCCAGCCACAGGACCACCTACCTGGAGTTTGCATGTTCTCCCTGTGCCTGCGTGGGTTTCCTCCGGGTACTCCAGTTTCTTCCCACACTCCAAAAGACATGCTGGGAGGTGAATTGGCTCCTATCTAAATTGCCCCTAGTATGTGTATGTATGAATTTGAGTTAAGGACCTTAGATTGTATGCTCCTCGGGGGCGGGGACTGATGTGAATGTAAAATATATGGAAAGCGCGGAGTACATTGACAATGGTATATAAGTGCCTGAAATAAATAAATATAATGTAGATATTACATATATCTATACATTGGAACAAGAAGGGACCATCTCCAAACTCTTTCCACAAAGTTGGGAGCATGAAATTGTCCAAAATGTCACCCTTAAGAGTTCCCTTCACTGGAACTAGGGGGCCAAGCCCAACCCCTGAAAAACACCCCCACCCCATAATCCCCCCTCCACCGAACTTGGCACCAAGGCTGGTGTGAGACTATTTTGTGCCCTGGGCAAGACCAGCTACTTCCCCCTTCCCCTCCAAAAACAAATAAATACCAATTTTTTTAAATCAGTAAAAAATATAAAATCAACAAAACATAAAACTGCGAAAATTCTTTTAATTTGCAAAAGTAAGCGCCATAAGATGCCACCAGCACCGATATTAAAGACAAAATCCGTGTCACAGGCGGACTGCATCTGTGGCTGGCAGTGGCCGGGTGACAGTTGCAGTAAGTGGAGGATGATGGCTCCCAGGCTGGAATTCCCCAGGCAATGGGGGGCGATAAAACACTGTGACAGCAGGCAGCCCAGCCCACACACACACAGAGAAAACACCTAAACTGAGCAATTCCACACAGTGACAGATCCAACACAACACACCAACACTGCAGAGTCTGACATTACATTCCTCCGCAGGCACAGCTCCTCCTCCGCTGATGAATGGGAAGAGAGGGGCTGGAACTCCACAGTGATCAGCAGCCCCAGCCAGCTTGCAGTAAGGGACTGAGTCTGAGAGGAACACTGGAAGGAGTGGCACACAGGTGCTACACTGCCTCCAGACACTCAACATTTTCCTCTGTCCTTTCTTCCTTCCCTCTGCTGCTCTCCCCTGAGCTGAAGGATCATTCATGATGTGATTACATCCCACACAGAGAGAGTGCCGGATCGTGCTGCACCGAGGCACCACTAGGTGGAAGTGCATCCTAGGCAGCCGCCTAGTTTGCCTAGTGGAAGTACCGGCCCTGCTTGGCACAATGCAGTCAGGCAAGTACCGTTCTCCTGGCCACCGCCAAACCCAGACACGTCCATCGGATTGCCAGACAGAGAAGTGTGATTGGTCACTCCAGAGAACACGCCTCCTCTGCTCTAGAGTCCAGTGGCGGCGTGCTTTACACCACGGCATCCGACGCTTTGCATTGCACTTGATGATGGAAGGCTTGGATGCAGCTGCTCGGCCCATGGAAACCTATTCCATGAAGCTCTCTACGCACTGTTGTTGGGCTCATCTGAAGGACACACCAAGTTTGGAGGTCTTTAGCTATTGACTCTGCAGACAGTTGGCTACTTCTGCGTACTGTGCGCTTCAGCATGCGCTGACCCCGCCCTGTCATGTGACGTGGCCTACCACTTGGTGGCTGAGTGGCTGTTGTTCCCAGTGGCTTCCACTTTGTTATAATCCCACTAACAGTTGAGCGTGGAATATTTAGTAGCCAGGAAATGTCACGGATGGACTTAATGCCCAGGTGGCCACCTATCACGGGACCACGCTTGGAGCCACTGAGCTCCTGAAAGCGACCCATTCTTTCACCAATGTTTGTAGAAGCAGTCTGCATGCCTAGGGGCTTGATTGTATACACCTGTGTCCATGGAGGGGATTGGAACACCTGAATCACATGATATGGAGGGGATTGGAACACCTGAATCACATGATTTGGAGGGGATTGGAACACCTGAATCACATGATATGGAGGGGATTGGAACACCTGAATCATATGATATGGAAGGGATTGGAACACCTGAGTCACATGATATGGAGGGGATTGGAACACCTGAATCACATGACTGGGAGGGGATTGGAACACCTGAATCACATGATGTGGAGGGGATCGGAACACCTGAATCACATGATATGGAAGGGATTGGAACACCTGAAACACATGATATGGAGGGGATCGGAACACCTGAATCACATGATATGGAGAGGATTGAAACACCTGAGTCACATGATATGGCGGGGATTGGAACACCTGAATCACATGATATGGAGGGGATTGGAACACCTGAATCACATGATATGGAAGGGATTGGAACACCTGAGTCACATGATATGGAGGGGATTGGAACACCTGAATCACATGATATGGAGGGGATTGGAACACCTGAGTCACATGATATGGAGGGGATTGGAACACCTGAATCACATGATATGGAGGGGATTGGAACACCTGAATCACATGATATGGAGGGGATTGGAACACCTGAATCACATGATATGGAAGGGATTGGAACACCTGAGTCACATGATATGGAGGGGATTGGAACACCTGAATCACATGATATGGAGGGGATTGGAACACCTGAATCACATGATATGGAGAGGAGTGGAACACCTGAGTCACATGATATGGAGGGGATTGGAACACCTAAATCACATGATATGAAGGGGATTGGAACACCTGAATCACATGATATGGAGGGGATTGGAACACCTGAGTCACATGATATGGAGGGGATTGGAACACCTGAATCACATGATATGAAGGGGATTGGAAACACCTGAATCACATGATATGGAGGGGATTGGAACACCTGAATCACATGATATGGAGGGTGGGGACAATACTTTGGGGCAATATAGTGTGTATATATATATATATATATATATATACAGTCATGGCCGAAATTGTTGGCACCCTTGATATTTTTCCTGAAAATCAAGTATTTCACACAAAAAAGGTATTGCATTAACACATGTTTTGCTATACACATGTTTATTTCCCTTTGTATGTATTGGAACAAATATAAAACAGAGGCAGAAAAGCAAATATGACATAATGTCACACAAAACCCCAAAAATGGGCTGGACAAAAGTATTGGCACCCTTAACTTAATATTTGGTTGCACACCCTTTGGAAAACATAACTGAAATCAGTCGCTTCCTATAACCATCAATAAGCTTCTGACACCTCTCACCCGGAATTTTGGACCACTCTTCCTTTGCAAAACAGCTCCAGGTCTCTCTTATTGGAAGGACACCTTTTCCCAACAGCAATTTTAAGATCTCTCCACAGGTGTTCAATGGGATTTAGATCTGGGCTCATTGCTGGCCACTTCAGAACTCTCCAGCGCTTCTTTGCCATCCATTTCTGAGTGCTTTTTGACGTATGTTTGGGGTCATTGTCCTGCTGGAAGACCCAGGATCTTGGACGCAAACCCAGCTTTCTGACACTGGGCCCTACAGTGCGACCCAAAATCCTTTGGTAATCCTCAGATTTCATGATGCCTTGCACACAGTCAAGGCACCCAGTGCCAGAGGCAGCAAAACAACCCCAAAACATCATTGAACCTCCACCATATTTTACCGTAGGTACTGTGTTTTGTTCTTTGTAGGCCTCATTCCGTTTTCGGTAAACAGTAGAATGATGTGCTTTACCGAAAAGCTCTATCTTGGTCTCATCTGTCCACAAGACGTTTTCCCCAGAAGGCTTTTGGCTTACTCAAGTACATTTTGGCAAACTGTAGTCTTGCTTTTTTATGTCTCTGTGTCAGCAGTGGGGTCCTCCTGGGTCTCCTGCCATAGCGTTTCATTTCATTTAAATGTCGACGGATAGTTCGCGCTGACACTGATGCTCCCTGAGCCTGCAGGACAGCTTGAATGTCTTTGGAACATGTTTGGGGCTGCTTATCCACCATCCGGACTATTCTGCGTTGCAATCTTTCATCAATTTTCCTCATCCGTCCACGACCAGGGAGATTAGCTACAGTGCCATGGGTTGCAAACTTCTTGATAATGTTGCGCACTGTGGACAAAGGCAAATCTAGTTCTCTGGAGATGGACTTGTAACCTTGAGATTGTTGATATTTTGCCACAATTTTGGTTCTCAGGTCCTCAGACAGTTCTCGTCTCCTCTTTCTGTTGTCCATGCTTAGTGTGGCACAGACAGACACACAATGCAAAGGTTAAGTGAACGTCTCTCCTTTTTATCTGCTTTCAGGTGTGATTTCTATATTGCCCACACCTGTTACTTGCCCCAGGTGAGTTTACAGGAGCATCACATGCTTGTAACATTTCTTATTTATCCGCAGTTGTGAAAGGGTGCCAATACTTTTGTCCAGCCCATTTTTGGAGGTTTGTGTGACATTATGTCGAATTTGCTTTCTTTCCTCCCTTTTTTTGTTTTGTCCCAATACACACAAAGGGAATAAACATGTGTATAGCAAAAAACATGTGTTAATGCAATACGTTTCGTGAGAAATACATGATTTCCTGGAGAAATATCAAGGGTGCCAACAATTTCGGCCATGACTGTATATATATATTTTAAAATTATTAATATTTATTTATAATATATTATGTATATATATATATATATATATATATATTATACACATAAATATATATATCAGGGGCATCCCAAGGCAGGTGCAAGGGGTGTGGCCTGCACCGGGTGACACCGACCGCACAAGGTGACACCAGAGGGACGCCCCTGATATATATATATACTACCAGGGGCGGACTGACCATTTGGAAACTCGGGCACTGGGTCAGTAGGGGGCCCCATGAGATGCCCCTGGTACCATTTTCATAGGCTTTTTTGAGTTTGGGCAAGGACACAGGGGCCCCATGATCCCCTATTGCCCGGGGGCCCCATGAGTTGTCAGTCCACCCTGTATCCTACCCTGTAAAAATAATTGCTAAGAGAATTCATGGGAAAAAAAGTCAACTTACGAGTGACAGTCCATGCAATCGCTCACACACACGCTGTATTGCCCCAAAGTATTTGGGCCCGCCCTCCAAATGATTGGATTTCAGGTGTTCCCTTCCCCTCCCCATATCATGGGATTCAAGGTGTGTCCCATTTCCCCCCCCCGCCATATCATGGTGATTCAAAAGGTGTTCCCATCCCCTTCCCCATAGTCATGGGAAAGTTCAGGTGTTTTTTAAAACCCCTACCCATATCATGGGATTCAGGTGTTACCCATTCCACCCCCCCCAAAAATAAATCATGGGAACTTCATAAAAAAAAAAATTCCCATTCCCCCCCCACATATCATGGGGGTATTTCAGGTGTTGGGGAGTAATCCATCCCTGGGGGGGGAACCCATATCATACCGGGAATTCAGTGAAAAAAAAAAACCTCCATATGAAAAAAATCAATGGGGGTGGAGGGTCGGGCGGGGGAGACGGAGGGGGGGGGGCGGTGGGACCGGGGGGCGGGGGGAGGGCGGGGGGGGGGGGGGGGGGGCTGGGGGGGAAAAAAAAGAAAAAAAAAATAAAACATATCATGGGGATTGACAAATAAAAAGTGTTCCCATTCCCCCCCGGGGGGGGGGGGGATGGGGGGGGAAAAAAATTTAAGAAAAAAAAAAAAAAATAAAAAAAAAAAAAAAGGGGGGGGCATGGGATTAAAAAAAAATCAAGGTGTTCCGGGGGGGAAACATAAAAAAAAAAAAGAAAAAAATAAAACAGGGGCCCCCCATTTATGGGATTCAGGTGTCCATAAAAATAATAAAAAAAAAAAAAAAAATAGAAAGGGGGGGCGGAAGGGGGGGACGGGGCGGGGGGGGGCGGCGGCGGTGGGGGGGGCGGGGGGGGTAGGGGGTGGACCACCCCTCCCCATATCATGGAGGTGGGGCGGGGGGGGGACGGGGGGGGGAGGGGGGGGCGAACGGGGGGGGGGGGCGGGGAGGGGGGGGGGGGGGAGGAGGTAAGCGGGGGTGGGGATGGGGGGGGAAGGGGGGGCCGGGACGGCGCCCCGGAACGGGGCGGGGACCCATCCCCGGTGGGGGGGGGGGGGGGAGTCCCGGCAGGGGGGGGGGGATGGGGAGGGGGCGGGCGGCAGGGGGTGAAGGGGGGGGGGAGGGGGGGGGGGGGTCGGGGGGGGGGAGGGGGGGGGGGGAGGGGGAGGGGAGGGGGGGGGTGGGGGCGGGGGGGAGGGGGCGGGCTGGGAGGCGGGCGGACGGGCGCCCCCATGCAGCGGGGGGGTGGGGGGCCCATATCGGGCGATGGGCGGGAGCGGGCGGGGGGGGGAACTCAGCAGGGGCGGGGGAGGGCCGGGGCAGGGGGCGGGGAGTAAGGGGGGGTGGGGTAGGCAGGTGGAAGGTGGGCGGGTGGGGGGACGGGGGGGCGGGGTGGGCGCCCAAAATGGGGGGGGGGAGGGGGAGACGGGGGGGGCGGAAAAGGGGGGAGTGGGGGGGGGACGCGGGAGGCTCGGGGGGGGCGAGGAACGGGGGGGCGGGGGGGGGAGCTGGGGGGGGAGGCGGAGGGAGGGGAGGGGCGGGGGAGGGGGGCTGGGGGGGCCGGCGGCGATGGGGCACAGTGCGGAGGCCGGGTGCGGGGAGGGTAGGGGGGGAGCCTAATGGGGGGGGGGGCGGGGACATAGGGAAAAAAAAAAAGGGGGGGAGGGGGGGAGGGGGGGGGGCCGAGAGGGGGGGGGGGGGGAGGGGGGCGAGGGGTAGGTGAATAACGGTGGGAGGGGCCGGGCAGGGGGCGACGGGCAGGGGGGCGGGGAGGGGGGGTGGGGGGGGGGCCGTGCTTAAACGGTGGTCCGGGGGGAGTGGAGGTCGGGCTTGAGGGTAGGGGGCGGGGGGAGGCGGGGCTGGGGTGCTAGGGGGGCGGGGTGGGGAAGGGTGGGGCAAGTCGGGCGGCGGCGGGGGGGGACAGTAATAAGGATTCAGGGCCGTGGGGGGAGGGGCGAGGGGGGGGGGCTAGGGGCGCGGAGGGTGGGCTTGGGGAAGGGGCGGGGGTGGGGGCAGGGGGGGCGGGGGGGGAGGGGTGGGGGAGGGGGAGGGGGCCAAAGGGGCGGTAAAAAAAAATCCCCGGGGGCGGGGTTATCACGGGGGGGGTGAGCGGAGGTGGGGGGGGGGGGGGGGGTCCCGACCGGTGGGGGGGGGCCAGGGGCGGGGGGGGAGATAACGGGGAGCGGGGGGGGGGGGCGGGGAGGGCGAGGCGGGAGCGGTGGCGGGGGGCGGGGGGGATGGAGGGGGAGGGGGGGGGGGGGGGTGGGGGGGTAGGGGGGCGGGGCGGGGTGGGGCTAGGGGGCCGGCGGGTGGCTAGGAGGGCGGGGGGCGGCGGCGGGCGGCGGGGGGGGGGCCGGCGGGCCGGGGGGAGGGGAGGGGGGGGAAGGGGGGGTTGGCATGATGGGTGGGGGAGAGCGGGGGGGAGGGGGCAAGGAGGATGCGGGTGGGTGGAGCCGGTAACGTCGGTGGGAGGGGGGGACGGGGAAAAAATGGGACGGGGGGGGGGGGGGGGGGGGGGGGGGGGGGGGGGTGGGGGGGGGGGGGGGGGGGGGGTGGGGGGGGGGTGGGGGGGTCCCATGGGGGGGGCAGAAGGTGCTGGGGGGGTACG